GCCCGCGGCTTTTTCCCCCCCTGAGGTGCTTGCGCAGGAGCTGCAGTTGCAATCTGTCGATCAGGGAAGGGGTGACTCGGGGAGAATCGGGACAGACTAGATGGTTGCACACTCTAAGACACACTAGATGCAGTATAGACAGGATCGTCCTCCTCCTCACGGGCGGGCGGGTACCGCCTTGCCCTTCCCAGGGATGCGCCCTCCCGCGCCTGGTGCAAGCCCAGGATGGTTTGAGTCCTTGAACAGAGAAGATAGAGGCTGAACTGGGAAGGTGGGTGAAGTGCCCTGGCCCTGGGCTGTGGTAAGCACCCTAGAACAGGGGCATGGGAACTCTTTAAAGAAGCCCAAGGGTCTGGGGAGGTGGCCAGTGGATAACGCCAAGGCAATGGTTCCTCCTGGAAGGTGTCTCCCAGGAACTCGCCTAGCCCCTAGGACCTGCAGCTTTCTGTCCCTCTTCGCCTCCGCAGCATTCTCTGAGCTCCACAGGAGGGCACACCGCGGCGCCGCCTCTGCGCTGGCAGTTTTGGCGCAGCGCAAGGCCTGGGCACTCATCCTCAGCCACCCTGTCTTTCCTGCAGCCCGCTGGACTGTCTCGACAGCAGGCTGTCCCCTGTCCCCACGGAGCCCCCTTCCCTGACATCCTCACGGAGCTTGTCGCCTTGGCTCCCAACATCTCTTCTCAGTCTTTCCAAATCTGCTCTCTCTCTTTCTCCTGGCCGATTCCTCTAAACCCACCATAGGCCCCCCTCCCCTTTCTCCCACTTCTTCCAGTCCTCTGTTTGAATTTGACTCCAGTAGCTCCTAAAACAGGATTTGCATCAAAGCTACAAGGCTAAATTTATATGCCATATACCCTGACGTTTTGTTTTTTAATTGTATTAACTAAGTATGCTCCTTGCAGTGGGCTGGGTGATTCCCCAGGGAAATAATGCTCTCACTGCCCTCTCCTCTATTTGGCTTCAGCTGCAGGACTCTTTGGGGACATTTCCAAAATACCAAGAAGTTGGGCCATGTATAAAATGGTATGCTGAGATCCCCTTAATTGGAAAATGTGGGAGGGTTTATAGGGACTGTGGGGCAAGTTGCACCTTTTGCTGTTTGCAATAAGATTTAGAGATGCAACCCAGGGCCACCTTGGTAGACTACACCAGGCCTTAGAGCCAAGACTGACTGCTGTAGAATGTACTCCAACCCATTTCCCACCTGGTAAAGGGGTGAGATTCCTAACTCATCAGCTTCCTCACAACAAGAGCTCAGAACTGGGTGGGAGGTACCCAGCCTGCCACCCCCTTGTCCATCTCACAAACACAGGTGTTGGTATGAGAGCTGATGGCAATGGACATTTATCTGTGGCTTGCAGCATAGCCCCTCAGCTTACTTTTATTAAAAATCAGTAATTAGCTGAGTACCAGACAACCTGGGGGCTTGTGGAGGAATCGCTGGGCCCATTGGCCCCATTAACTTTCTGCCTCTTGGTTAACATTATCTTCCCAACAGCAGCATGGAGAAACTGTCGTAGTCACAAAGCAATGAAAGAAGCTACCCAGGGTAGTTTGTGGAGTGAATGCTAAAATTGACATTTGATTCAAGAAATCTGCTTCCAAAGCCTGTCCTAGCCACTTGTTGTGCCCTCTTTGCAGACACTCAATCCAACTTCCACTGTGTATTCATATTTTAATGTCTCCAAGTACTGCCATGTAAATGACATGACTAGAAGGACTGTGATTATCTGTGATCCCCAGCACATAGACAAGAGTTAGTTAAGAGCTATGTTAGCTAATTGTTTGGTTATTTGAGATTTTTAACAAGTTATGAATCAGGAGAGTGCTTACCATAAAAGCATGAGGACCTGAGTTCAATCCCCAGAACCAAATGAAAAGGCAGAGCATGGTAGATACGCTCGAAATCCCAGCGCTGGAGAAGCAAGACAGGCAGATCCCTGGGACATGCTGGCCAGCTGGCCTAACCTACCTGTGGATCTCCAAACAATGAGACAAGCAGTAGTCTTAAAAACCAAGACACAGGGGCTGGGGAGATGGCTGAGCAGTTAAGAGTCCCTACTACGCTTGCAGAGGACTCGGGTGTGGATCTCAGGACCCACATCAGGAGACTTATAGCACCTACAACTCCAGTACTGGAGTATGTGAAACTCTGCCTCCACAGGAACCTGCATACTCTTGGTACACACAAATTCACACACAGACAAACACAGATGCACATAAAAGATAAATCTTTTTAAAATTAGCTCTTGAGGAATGACACTTAAGGGTGTCATTTGGCTTCAACATGCACTGGTACACATACATACCAGCACCCACAGGAAGGAAAAAGAGTGAGAACAGGACAGAGAGAGAGAGAGAGAGAGAGAGAGAGAGAGAATAGAGGTGGAGAGAAAGACAGAAATCTTAAAAAAAAAAAAAAAGTCATTCTGTCTGGGACCAGAAGAGGAAAGGAACACTCAAAACACGAATGAGAATTTCTTCCATCATGACCTCTGTGTGACTGAGAGATGTCTATACTGGGACTTGTGAAGGGACCTTACAGCAGGCTTACTAGGATCCAAGAAATTGTGAGCTCTGTCCAGCAAGTGGTAAAGCCAAGACAGGAGTAAGTTGCCCAACTACTAATGTAGGCTTCTGCCATCCCTGCCATCCACCACCTAGGTGCTCACCAGCCATCATCAGGGCATCCTTCAAAGTGATCTCATAGAAAAGCACTACACACACACACACACACACACACACACACACACACACACACACACTATTGTAAGATTTGGGGGCTTTAAGACTCTTTGAAACATGGTTTTTAAATGCCTTAGGCAAACTCTGGATGGGAAAGTCCTCTTCAGGACCTGCCTCTGGTCTCAGCACAAGCCCCTGTATTCAGGACTTGACTCATGGCTGCTGCTCCCAGCTTTAATTAACAGAGACTGCCCCCTGTTTGCAACAAGGAAACTGCAGGAGCTGAGCTTCAGAAGGTAGCAGCCTGAGATCCACCCTGCCCACCCCTTTCTTGGAAGAACCCTAAGCCTCCTCCAGTTAGTTCCCCAGGAGCTTTCCCCTGACTCGGTTCCCTCCCTATCTGCAGTGGCTGTGCCTGTGCCTACTGGTATTGCCCCAGCCCGTGTGCCAAGCCTTTGAAAAATATTTAGGAGAATCATCTTTATTCTTTTCACTTTTCAAGGGAAAAAAAAATGTCCATTTTCTCTGGACACATCAAGTTAGCAAGTATAGCTACTACCTCCTGGTAGGGATATGATTGTTGGGCACATATGACTAAAAGGTTATTTCGTTTAAGGCTTCTATGTGTGTGTCACTGGGGGGGGGGCGTTATAAAGTTGCTCACTGAAACACGGGGCAAGTTCATGGACAAGGAAAAAAATCATATCAAATCTCTCCCAAAACCACTTACAGAAATGAATCAATGTGAACATGTCACACAGAAATGCACAGCCCTTTATGAAATTGTCTTTTCTAAGAAAGAGATGAAGATACTATAGTTTTGCAACAGGCCTTTTTAATATTGAAAGAGAATCTCTTTCGCTCTGGCCTCAATTTTTTTCAGGCTGTAGTACCCAATACAACAAGCATGCAATTGTACCCACTAACAATTAAAGAGGGGAACTAGCAGAAGAAAGGGTGTAGGCTGCCTGGCACTACCTTGAAACCAGTGTTTAAAAGCCATGCAACAAATTAAATTATCTGCACTGTGGCCCCTGCCTGAATGAGTTGTTTGTTAATCTTCCCCATCAGGTGGCTTTTAAGGTTTCAAAGAGGTTTCCAAGCAACTGTTAGCCTTGAGGGGAAAAAAGGGAGAGATGGCACAGAGGCAAATTGTAGCAAGCCTTGCATGCTTCCAGAAACACATATTTGATGGATTTTATTCTCCATGTCTGAAGAGGTAAAGAAGCCTCACAGAAGAAGCAGGTCAATAATGTGCCCCCCCCACCCCCCCACTGGTGGTGGTCCCTGCCACAGATATTTTACTTGTCAATAGTGTCTGGCTTGTTTGAATATGCGTGAGAAAAGAAAGCAAATCCTTCAAATGAACTCATAGGCAGAAGTGCAGTTGATTCTTCTAAATTCACTAATGTAATGTCAATTTAAGAAAAATAAACACACTGTGGTATTTGCAACAAAGAAAAGAAAAGGGAGTGTCTGGTGTGAAACCCAAAGCTGGGATGTGGGACTTTGGTTTCAGACTGCTTTTCCTGATCTCGGCACTATTGTCATTTGGGAGTGGGCACACCTGTGTCATAGGGGCATCTTATACACTGTGGGACATTTGACTGTATTGTTAACCCCTACCCACCAGATGCCAATAGCACCATGCCCTTACCCTGTTGTGACAACTATACTTTTGATGGACATTTCCAAATGTCTGCTGGAGGACAAAATGAAAACCAGCTAAACACCATGATCATAATGTTGTGCTTACATTTAAGTCCCGGCCTTTTCTGGCTGAAGGTCTTTTGAAATTTGAAGTGATTTGTGTGGGGGCCAGTGAGACAAGGTTTCATTATGTAGCTCAGGTTGGCTTTAAACTCTTGCTTTCAGGTAAGTTGCTTAATCTTTCCAAGATTTGTTTTTCTCGTCTACCAAATAAGGATAAGAAGGATGCCACCCTAAGCCAGGTGTGGCACATGACTGTGGCGTGAGCACTCAGAAGGCTGAAGCAGGATCTTGATTTCAGGGCTAAACTGGACTATATAGTAAGACCTTGTTTTAAAAAAAAAAAAAAAAAAAAAAAAAAAAGCAAACAAAGACTGTAAGGGTGCAAGACGTCAAGGCTACACAGAACTCAGGAGATGGAGACTGGCTGTCCCCTCCAGCACTGCATAGTCTCTAGAGAAGCTATCAACACAGAACCTGAGGTGGGGCCTCTGTGTCCAAAGGAATCCTACATTCAGTTTGAGTCCCTGCAGATGCCTTTGAAGTTTGAAGTGATGGTGTGAAACGGATTCACTGTGTAATTCAGGCTGGCTTTAAGCTTACCTTCCTCCTGCATCAGCCTCCCAAGGGTTGCCATTGCATGTGTGCACCAACAAGTCCAGCCTCAGAGCAATTTTGGAGCAGAAGGCCCAGCACTTCATTTTACAGAAATGGGGTTGAGTTTACAGATGAGTGAAAAAGAGCAAGTGAAGAGGAGGATTAGCGAAGACCAAAATAGGAACAAAAATCCATCAACATGATGGAACCCATTACTTTGTATGCTCTTTTTAAAACACTATTTTAAAAAAAAAAATGTTATTTAGCTCTGGTAGACGGGAGAGGAGGCTTCTCAGAGCTGGTGACATTTAATCAGCCATCAGTTAAGGTATGTCAGCATTCACAAGAGCACTGCAATACCAGCTGCCATAGACACAAACTAAAAGCGCAATGCTGATTCGTGGAGGTTTCCACTGGTCCCTAAAATGCCAAGGTAAGCCTGAGGAAATTTGCTGGGTAAGCACCTGCTTTGGGTTGCTGCACATTGTATCATGTGTATGCAGGTGTGAACATCCATGTGTATGTGTGTGAGGAGGTCACAGGACAGCATTGGGTATCACTCTTCAAGTGCTGTCCACATTGGGTGGTTCTCTCTCTCTCTCTCCCTCTCTCTCTCTCTCTCTCTCTCTCTCTCTCTCTCTCTGTGTGTGTGTGTGTGTGTGTGTGTGGTGTGTATGTGTGT